TCCTGTTTGGATTTTAGAATTTCTACACTGAAAAAAAAAAGGTACTCTACCAAACCCATCAAAAAGGTTTCGTAAGTGTCGAAAGCTTGCAAATGTGCCGACATGTTCAAAAAAATGCTTTTCAAAATCTGCCAAACCAAAAAAAGATCGGTCGGCGGGCACACGCTCCGAACCCTCATCACGGAAGCTTTTTAAGTTTCGCATGCATCCAATAAAGGTTCGTCAGAAAATACGGAACCTTAAGGTTTCGCACTATGGTTTTTATACGAATCTAAGAAGGTTTCGTGTTTTGTGACGAAATCTTAAAAGGCTCCGTGATGAGGGTTCAGAACGTGTGCCCGTCGACCGATCCTTTTTTGGTTTCGTAGTTTTTTTGAGAAGCATTTTTTTGAACATGTCGGCACATTTGCAAGCTTTCGACACTGACGAAATCTTTTTGATGGGTTTGGCAGAGTACCTTATTTTTTTCAGTGCATTGGGGCCAACATTCTATGGGATCAGATTTCTCCATGCCTTGCGATCTTGCGCAAGGTGGAACAGCTCCTATCCACTGCGTTGACACTACTCACGAGGGAACCACCCGAGGCGTCAAGAAGCTTTATGGCTCGGAGTGTAATGGGTAGATAGGGCATACCTTGGTATGACATATTCTAAGGTGGTTCGTACGCAAGTTGCTTTTAGCAAAAGTTATCAATTTTCAAGTTACAAGCGATATTTACAGTTTTACCAAAAATTCAAATGTTTTTATACAAGAAAAACTTTTTATCTTTAAAGTGTGTTATATATATGATGATTAATTTCAGTGTGTTTATTCGTCTGATGGGTATATTTTTGAGAATGAAATGAATTTATCCTACTCTGTATATGTGTGAATATCAAATAAAGAAGGAGAGTGTGTGAAAGAAACTATTTATCATTTATCAGTCGTTATTCGTGTTATAGTATGTGTAGAATGGTGCAGTGAGTAAAAAGAAAAAGAAAAGCTTTCACTCAAGAACGTATAGTAATGTATCACGTAGTTTTATCACAATCTGAAAAACTAATGAGTGAAATAAACCGAATAATGGAATTGTTCCAAGAACGAACACCTAAAGAACTTCCAGTTTCGTCATCACTTACGTATGTTCAAGAAAATGAAATGGCTGATCAGTTGTTTAATGTATTCGAGTCAGTATGGACAAACACGTTATACAGTGAAGAAAATGAAATTACCCTTGATCATAATACAATGGATAATAAATTTGAAGAATGCGAGGAAGATTTGGATTACGAAACAAAAGACGAAAAAAATCCGGTGTTCGAATCATTTTCTTTGTCATATATGAAGCGAGCGCTTCATTATTAGGGTGGAATTAATCCAAAAACGGGAAAACGATCTCATACATGGAGAAATGTTCAGAACAAATTTAGAAGAATCAAAGAACAATCGTATATGTTCCGCTTCCGACGCTATATTGAGAAAGGGGGAACGAGAAGAAATAAAAAGTGGATTCAGTAGTACTACGATTCTACTGAATAATGTCGAAAGTAAAAATATCGAATTTAAAAAGATCGAAAATAAAAAATATCGAATACGCAAATTATACAAACATCGAAAGATGAACAAGGTGCGAATGATTTAGTTTGAGAAAGGCCCTCAATCTTACACATCTATCTGCAATCTCATTTTTGGTTTCGACGGTTTGATTTTCGATATTTTTGCTTTCGACATTTTAACATTTCGATCAATTTCAAGTTAACTTTCAAAAGTCCATCTTATCTTTAAGAAATATGCAATATTTTGAATGCTCGGGTGTAAGAGACAAACGGTTTTTACGTAGGACATAATTCGAGACCGAGAAAGCGCCTTCACTTGGAACATTAGTTGCTGATACTGCCAAGTATTTTTTTGTTTGTATGAGCAGCAAAAGCATTGCGTCTTCCTGTGCTTACCAAAAAGCGATGAAATTCTGGTTTTCCTTTGAAAGAGAAGCCATCCTTGCGATTTCTTGTTGGATAGCCAATACATGAGATTGATCGATGCTACCGACAGCTGAATTGACTCCGCACTTCGTTAAAAAAATTTTCAGCATTGTGCTGCTTTTCGACGACATGGATTGCGATGTGACTGATAAAGCCGGAGTGTTTGATGTTAGGTTTTGATTGATCGTGTTAGCCTTCTGGTACCTTTTTACTTCATTCAACAAAACCTTCTCTGCCGTCTGTTTGTGTTCCGATGACAACATGTCGTGAACGAGTGGGTGCAAAAACGCTGCGCAGAACAGCATGCTTAGTTTCGAGCTCTGGCAAGATGTATTCGTCGAATCTTGCAACCATAATCTCCTTCGCTGCGTTCTCAGTCGCATCACCCGTACGATCGTTTAAATAATTGTTTAGTGAGTAAATCACGGGATAGGCTAGCGATAAAGCTGGGTAAGATCTGTCCGAGAGAATTTCCGTGGTGTCGTTGAACCACTCTAAAACTCAACGAAGCGCCTGCAGGATGTTCCAGTCAATACTTGTGGGTTTCGATTCAATGATTTTCTTGCACTGCCCCGCCGTCACACCGTCGATTGTATCGAGATTGTCGTAAAATGTTCCAAGAACATTTTGATAGAGAAGCAGTCGCTGGATCATCTTAAAGGTGGAGCTCCAGTGGATCTTCATGTCTTGAACTAGCTCGATTGAAATCACATCACGTGCCAACTTCCGAAAAGCGTCATTGAGGATGCTTGATTTCCGAATAGTAACAATGAATTTGCGACATTTCGTCATGAGAATATCGACATCTTGCAAACCTAATGCCACGATCTCCTCGTCATCCGAATCAGACCAATCATCAGCACTATCGAGATCTTGGACACCATCGCTATCTTCCTGACTAGACTGTTCATCACTGGAATCGTGATTGGATGATCTATCGGCAATGGATTCCTCGCCAGAATTGTTGTCGGAGCTGTCTTCTTCGTCGTTGGTTTCGCCGTTTGCGGCCGAAGATGATGAGGAAATTTCACATATCGTTTGCTTCACTTTTGGCTACAGATTCAGAGACTTATGAACGATAAGGTTCAGTCCATATGCGATGCAGTGAGCGCGAATACCAAAGACACTCATATATTGTGTGGTCTTGTGAATGTCTCCACCGTTGTCAGTTGTTGTCCCGTATATCTTCCCGTTGTCTAGTCCGTACATAGCCAACTCCGTGCGAACATGTCGCCGTAGACGCATAGCAAAGCTTCTTCCGTGAAATTGACAGAAGCTCAGAATAGTTCCACGTTGTTCGTAGTGCGATGAAACGAAGTGAGCTGTAATGTATAAATAATGGCGTTTCCGACCACTGCACCACGTGTCAGTCGTAATGGAGATGTGTTGAATATTTTTCAACTGCTGTATCAGTGCCTTCTTTTTGTCATTGTACAGAATCTTCAAATTCCTCTGAACTGTCCGAGCAGTAGGACCTTTGTATCCCGGCGTTGCAACTTGCAGGAAAGACTGCACGCCAACGCGACGAAAGTCTCCAAATGAACGAGAATCCAAAATAATGGCTTTGATGGCACCTTCATCGAACTTTCTATTTTTCTCTGGAGCGATCGAATCACGATTCCGCGGCACCTGACTATTAGAGTACAAATTCGTTTTCCTATGAGCATTCGCTAAATGGCGACAGATGTTGGCATTTGTTCCTGTTCCGCATCAGTACGTCTTGGAATATAATTTACACTTGTACTCATTTGGTGACAGTTTATCCGCAAACTGACTCACAATCGATGATCGAGTGAGTGAAATCTTTTTATCAGTTCCAATATGTTGTTCGAGCCGTTCAACATCGCCGTCCTCGCTGACAAGATCTTGACTATAATCACCCACCATAACCATAGTCGCTCGTCGACGAACAGTGCTGGTCACATTGGTGAATCGTCGCTGAACGTTTTCCTGAATGAATGATCGAGTGTTGCTCAATTTCTCTTTTTCAACAGATGATTTGGACGATGGTCTACCCATTCGTGATAGTCCCAGATGATTGAAGTATTGTTTATCTAATAATGGGTTCACTCTCGATCGTATGTTAGCTTGGAGGAAAAATGCATACATTTTATACATCGACACGACGAGAATCGACATCAGGAAGAGAATTGTGTGATGCATCACATTTGGGGAAAAACCATCATTATTCGAGTGTGCGATCAAGGAATTATCCATTTCAATATTTTCTCCATCTTATGAATGATATATTTACGTACTAGTCATTTGAATGCTCGCTAGTTTGTTTCCCTTGCTTTGCTTTCGAACAGACCTATGAATTCATCTCAATCCGCTGCTCGAAACGAGGGACGATTGTTTTAGGTGTTGTAGAAAGGATACATCCCCTCCTATCAGGGATTTATCTACATGAATCATGAATACGAGCAAATCCTAATTCTGGATGCCACATGTATATGAGGTGTCGATATGCGTATGTTGGTTTTATCCAATCTAGTAAGCGCAAGAAGTAAACACATACAGGGTGTCCCAAAAGTCCGTATGGAAAGTTTTCATTAATATCTCCTATACAATACAAGCAATTAAATTGTTTTTTTTTTATAGAAAGATAGTATATTCTCTTAAGTTTCACTTCATATATTTTGAGTTACAACAAATGCTCAAAATGATTACCATCACT